CCTTGTCTGTCGGTGTCAGTGTCCTCTTTGTCTGCGATTTTTCTCTGCGTGAGAAAATGGATGTGTGGCGTGAGAGCGTGTGAAAAGGGTCAATTGCGTGAGTCTGACGGTCAATGCGTGAGAGTTGGCAGCTCTGCCTGCTAGTAATCTCTATTAATCTCCAGTATTATTACATTGTTTGATACAATATTGTTTTATTTGATATTATGTAAATGTGAATTTTTATTTTATATTGGTTTTATTATTATTTGTATTTATATTGTTTAAAGATTTAAGTTAATATTGTGTCCAGTTTGGCCCTGTAAATAAAAGGGTATTATTTTTTGATAAAGTGTGTGCGGTTTCGTTTACTTAAGTACCGTTTCAAGAACCGTTTAAGCACCGGAACCGTTTATAAAATACCGAGTAGGTACTGGTATCGGATAAAACCCAACCGATACCCAACCCTAGTCATATGTTAGTGGACTTATATAGTGAAGAGTGAAACAGTGGTGTCAAATTCAGTGGCCCTCCAGGACTGGAGTTTGACACGTGGTATAGGGGTAATTTCGGGTTTAGAGAAAAAAAATGGCAGCTGGCTGCAGAAAGTGGCTGCCATTAAAACCAGACGTAAACAGCCATTCACAACAACCACACACAACAACAAAAGTAGGAGGTGCAGGTTATGAATAATACTAGTGGAAAACTAATTAATCTGCTTTTATATTATATTATTGTTCTTGTTTATATAAAGTAATAGTCAAAATCATACCAGTCAAGTAATAAAGTATCCATAATAAACACAGAAGTCATATAAAAAATGTATGAGCATCAAATGAGACTGACAAGGGGCAAAAGCAGTTAAAAACATGATGTAAAGAAAAGTATCAAATTACGTAAACACATACCACAAGTAGAATAAGGAATGATGTTATTCTGAAATCAGGAACACTAAATACAACAATGCTTTGCTAATTTTAATATTTTTTTCAAATTTATGTGCAAAGCTTTCAGGTTTAATTTAAACTTTGTAATTTGTACCCGAAAGATGGTGAACTATGCCTGGGCAGGGCGAAGCCAGATGAAACTCTGATGGAACCCCGCAGCGGTCCTGACATGCAAATCGGTCGTCCGACCTGGATATAGGGGAGAAAGACTGATCAAACCATCTAGTAACTGGTTCCCTCCGAAATTTCCCTCAGAATAGCTGGCTTTTATAGTTTTATCCGGTAAATGACGCGAATGACTAGAGGCCTTGGGGCCGAAACGATCCAACCTATTCTCAAACTTTAAATGGCTAAGAAGCCTGGCTCGCTGGCTTGGAGCCGAGTGTGGAATGCGAGATGCCCAGTGGGCCGCTGTTGGTAAGCAGAACTGGCTCTGCGGGATGAACTGAACGTTGGGTTAAGGTGCCCGATGCCAACGCTCATCAGACCACAGAAAAGGTGTTGGTTGATGTAGACAGGTGGCTTTGGGTGCTCAAGCCCCTGCTCCATTTCAAAATTAATCAAAATTGCCCCTCTCAAACAAATATCAATGATAATATTGTGGTCAATAAAACAAAATGCATTTGATTATAATTAACATGACAAGGTGTACAAAACTAAAGTAGCCTGTAATCATGTTTATTTTTACGTTTCTGTCTACCTGAGGTATCGTTGCTATAACACGTTGCTATTGGTAGCGTCACTTGCGTGTGTCTTGCTTCGGACTTGACTGACGGGGTCAGTCTCCTAGCCTGGATGCCAGCCGAACTTAGCCCCGCCCACAACATTTGAGGTTGGAAAGTTCGGTCTGGACTTGATCCGTTGTGGAGCAACTATGCTCGAATCAGAGCTGTTCGGACCAATCAAATTGTCAGGGCGGGCTTTATACGATGATGGACAGATGATCAACAGTAACGTAATCATCCACGTCACCAAAGAGCGCTTGGGTTGAATTCGTTTACAAGTCAAGTCATCTTCATTTATATAGCGCTTTTAACAATAGATTGTTTCAAAGCAGCTTTACAGAGATAAACATATAATTTAAGGTAACAGATTGTTTTGGCGTTATAGCGGTTCTTGAATAATGTTACTTCCAGCTAAAGTTAACTAAAGTTAACCTCCGTCGACAAAGATGGCTGCCGCTGGAGAATTGAGATGTGTAGATTCCGCCATCGCGTCTGTTATAGAAGATATCGACAGCGCATTAATTTTAAAAGAGGAACACAGAACTGCAATCAAGGCAAGTCGCTCAACACTTACTCTGTTGCTCTGATTGGTTGTATGTCTATCCAATTGAGTGCAGAGGCATTTTCTTTCTTGGTTCGGTTGAAACACCCACCATAATCGCAGCCCAATGGAGCAATATCAGACTCATATTCTGACTAGAATCTGGGTATGACGACGTCAGGCTATCAGTCTCCGTTTTCGAGGGTCTAAAACTCCGGAGTAGTGTGTGCACGGCAGGAATAACCGTAGCAAAAGTTATGCGTTTTAAAATGAAAATGCACTAGTGTAAATGTAGGTATCCCAACAACAGTCTGCTGGGGAACCGATGCTCTCGAGCCAAATATAGTTCTTTCAGTGAGTATATGGCTCGACGGCAGGAAAAAAATAAACCAAACAATTTTTAAACTCTTTTTTTTTTTTTTATAATAAAAGGTTGTGTGTCGATTCAATTAAAAATCCACATATCATCACATATTTTGAAATATTACATAATTCATTGAAGCCTGTTTGTCATGTATAATACACCGACCAATCGTCATCTGGCACAACAAGTTCAAATTTCATTGGACAATGTGAAGTGGAGCGGTAATTTCCTGGTCATTTATAAATAAGTTGTTTGAAAATTACATGGACAGACTAATTTATATTTATGAAGCGATCTGAATCTGCGTCGTTGAACTAATGGATGTTAATTGACTACAAAGCACTGCCCAAAACCAGCACCAAAACTAGCATTAATGGTAAGTATAGTATTCAAGTCACTTGTATTTAGGGTGACCAGACGTCCTGAAAAATTCGTGACAGTCCCGAAATCTGAGCCAAATTGGCTGAAACTAGCTCAATGGTAAACAAATATAGATAAAAATTGTTCTGTGATTTCAGCAGCAACAAAATAATCCATCTAAAAAAGAGGGGAAGCTCCACGATTTCATCATTTCTCACAATATTGTTCACCTATGTCACCATGCATCTGTTATTTTCTCATTTTTTTAATTTCTCAAATTAAATTTTTTTAGTTGTTTAATTTATTTTAAGAAGGTTTTGACATCTAAACGTAAGAGCAATTCCATGCAAATGTCAATAAAGTTTAATCAAAATAACAAACCCTTTCTAAGTTGTCCATTTGGCTCTGTATTTTATTGTATTGATGTAAATTTGAAGGAAATTGCTGTGTCACTTTGAAAATTGCTTATTCACCTCAGATAAGGTGTGCACAGATACTAAAATGGACATTTTTAACCAAACATATTTCATGGTTTCAAAAGAGGGATCATATACTCAGTTTTTTATACTTTATGTTAACAGTAAGCATTTTGCAGAAAGATGGGAGCATGACTGAAATATAAATACACTCACTTTGTTACAACTGCATTGCCCTTTAAATTTATAACGGCTATATTTAGGAAGTCATGACGCTTCAGTGCTGTGTCACGTCCGTAACGATTTAAAGAATAAAGCTCTGTTCTGATCTCTGTTTAGTGAGGAAGTATTTTTAATCTCTCTGGATGTTATGTAACCATGATGTTTCTCAGATTGATATTTCTCTTGCATTTCATCTAATACTTCACTCTCCTCTTTCAGCGGCATCAGGTCTAAAGTGAAAAGAGACTAATAAAAAAAATAACATCAGTTTAATTCCACAAAGCAAGACACATCAAAACCAACCTAAAGGCATTAAAGCATCAAAATCAACAATATGCTTGCTAGATCCTCTATGCTCTAAATTTGTGAAAAAGGAGTTGTTTCAGAATCTATAATCTCAGAATCTCTTATCAATATTGTTAACCACTAAAAACCTGCAGTCCAAGAAAGCTGGCAATTATTAAACACCTCATCACTTATCACAATTGGTTTATTATAGACCAATCGCAATGTTCAGTAATTAAACTGGAATTTCAGCCAGGATTTAAGCTCTTTCTTTGCACAGAAACTGTCCTTATTAAAGTTACACCTTTTAACAACACAGACCACACATTCGCTTGGCCAGCATGAGAATTATGTTGGCATTTTTGGACAAGCAGTCATATCTATCTAACTGCTACCATTTTGCTTGTGTAAAAGAAGAGAGGTCTCATTAAGCAAAAGTATTGTGTCCCACAGGGCTCAGTATATATTTAGGAAGTCATGACGCTTCAGTGCTGTGTCACGTCCGTAACGATTTAAAGAATACGTTTATATTGTATAATAATTATTATTACAAATAATTTGAAACTTTATGTGCAAAGCCAAATATGTCCATTCTAATTATGAATGACAATTCATCTAATTTCTTTGCTCTAAACAACCTAAATAATGCATAAAATTGGGGCTGTGTATTTGCTGCCTTTCACTGCTAAGTGGTGCTACAATCACAGACTTTTTATTCTGTCTATTACGTCATCTGCCGCAGCTAATTGAGAGCTGTAGCAGGTAAATTCAAGTGAAAAATTGTAGTTTAACGTATTCAAAATCACAGTACTGAAATTACAGTACAAATTTAGAACTGAAAATAAATGTATAGGCTTTTATTATAGGTTAGAACTTTGTGTTGTTGTTTTTTATTTTAAATGAAAGATCAAAAAGGAAAAACAATACATATTTATTTCCACCGCCTTCTTTGAACATATTTACAGTGGCAAGGAACCCAAACTTCATCTGTGACAGAAATATAGAAAAAATCCTTGGGAGAATCCAAGCTAAGTTGGGGGGTAAGTTCTCTTCTGGCCAGGGTCTTTCGTATGCAGGCCTTTTCCTGTGTCTCTAAGTGTGAAGGGAATTTTTTTTTCTTTTACACTGATCACAATTTAATCCCCTCCAGAGGTGATTGCTTATGCTCAAAAACAGCATAAGCAGTTCTCTCCAGTGTGAATTCTTATGTGGCTATTTAGGGTTCCTTTATGTGTAAAACTCTTCCCACATTGAGGGCATGTGAAAGGCTTCTCTCCAGAGTGAATTCTCATGTGGTTATATAGGGTTCCTTTATGTGTAAAACTCTTTCTACATCGAGGGCAGGTGAAATGCTTCTCTCCAGTATGACTTCTCATGTGGGCATTAAGGGTTCCTTTATGTGTAAAACTCTTTCCACATTGAGGGCATGTGAAAGGCTTCTCTCCAGTGTGAATCATCAAGTGGCTTTTAAGGCTTCCTTTTTGAGTGAAAGTCTTTCCACACTGTTGGCAGGTGTAAGGACTTTCTCCAGTGTGAATTTTCATGTGGGTATTAAGGTTTTTTCTATGTGTGAAACTCTGTCCACACTGAGCACAAATGAATGGCTTCTCTCCAGTGTGAATTCTCATGTGGGAATTAAGAATTTCTTTTCGTGTGAAGTCCTTGCCACATAGTTTGCAAGTGAAAGCAGTCTCTCCAGTGTGATGTCTCATATGGGTATTAAGGTTTTTTTTATGTGTGAAACTCTGTCCACACTGATGGCACGTGTAAGGTTTCTCCCCAGAGTGAACTCTCATGTGGACTGTAAGGTTTTGTTTTTGAGTGAAACTTTTTCCACAATGTTGGCAGGTGAAAGGCTTCTCTCCAGTGTGAACTCTCATGTGGATTTCAAGGCTTTGTTTATGAGTGAAACTGTTTCCACACTGATGGCAGGTGAGGTAACTGTTAGGTTTGGTCTTCTGAGCTCTGTTTCGTGAGGAAGTATTTTTAATCTCTCTGGATGTTATGTAACCATGATGTTTCTCAGATTGATATTTCTCTTGCATTTCATCTAGTACTTCACTCTCCTCTTTCAGCGGTATCAGGTCTAAAGTGAAAAAAGACAAATAAAAAAAATAACATCAGTTTAATTCCACAAAGCAAGACACATCAAAACCAACCTAAAGGCATTAAAGCATCAAAATCAACAATATGCTTGCTAGATCCTCTATGCTCTAAATTTGTGAAAAAGGAGTTGTTTCAGAATCTATAATCTCAGAATCTCTTATCAATATTGTTAACCACTAAAAACCTGCAGTCCAAGAAAGCTGGCAATTATCAAACACCTTATCACTTATCACAATTGGTTTATTATAGACCAATCGCAATTGGTCTTCTTTTAATTCGGTATTCTTTTAATTCGGTTACAGCAAATCGGAATCCAAGGTTGTGTTTTGAATTGGTTTGCTTCATATTTAAAGGATTGAACCTTCTCAGTAGAGACAGGCAATTATTTATCACCTCGTGCACCAGTTTCATATGGGGTTCCGCAGGGCTCGATCCTGGGTTTTACAGTTTATTCGATTACTTACAGTGTATTGTTCTATTACCTATGAAACATTGACAAAAGAGAATTAAGAAGGAAAAGGACACTTGGAAGATTTACCTTTTTTTTTTTTTTTTTTTAAAGAACAACGACGAACATTTATTTTGCATTTTTGCTGTATTGGACATTTCTGAAGTGACGCACAAGACTGAACCCAGGGCGCAGACAGGATGCAGTGACACAAAGTTTATTATAGACAGAAAACAGAGAAAACAAAACCCACGAGGGGGCAAAACATGAACAGCAAAAGAAATAACAAGACTAGACCAGACCAAACTAGGACTGACAAACTAAACCATAAACTAACTACAGATACAGGATCAGTAATTCTTCAGACAAAACTCTCACAAGGTACTCACAGGTAAGTTTAAACACACAGGTAGAAATCACACTATGAGAAACAATGAACCGGCACAGGACAGCAAACACAAGGGGATTAAATAGGGAACACTAATGACGAGGACAGGTGAAGCCGACTAGACAATAATGACAAGACGAGGGTAACAAGGGGGCGGAGTTACATAACGAGACAACACAAGCACATGGCCGAACACTTAGCCATGTGCTTGCACACAAAACATGATTCTGTCATGATCCTGCCTCACGACTAGGGAAAATCAAGGGCAAGAGGGCAGAATCATGACAGTTGGTCACTCTTTTTTGTTTATTTCACATCACCTGGCCTGACAAGCGCGAAAATGAGAACTGTTTCTGAGGAAAAATATATTGTTGGACTTTATTTCAGTTTGTAGTGTATTTTGTGCATTTTCTCTGTTTATACTGTTTGAACAGAGACTGTACGTGTGCACCTGATTATTTCTTCAGGAAACAAACAGATGGCTGAAAATCGTGACCTACTTGATTTACTGACATGTTCTGACTACTCACAGTAGAAGACAGAGTATATCTCGGGGAGAGGATGAAGACTTACGGTCTCAGGTTCAGTTCCTGCATGACGAGGTTGCTGTTCTGCAGCGGTGTCTTCGTGACTCACTGGACCTGCAAAGGACAGTGATTGACTGCATGAGTCCAGACGAAGGTACCGTTCCTGTTGTGTCACGGCCGAAATCTTCTCCTTTAGCCTCTTCTACCCCATATGTTCGAGGACAGGTTCCAGGGGGAGATTCAAGGTCAGTTTTTGCTAATGTGCCTCATGTGTGTGCGCCCATGGTGACTCAACCAGCCTCGGCTGATTTGTCTGCTACGTCCAGGGTCTTAGCCTCTGTCCTCCATCAATCACGTCTTGAACCTCTAATATTTGAAGGTAAAGGAAAGATGAGTCCGGAGGATTGGCTTCAGTCTGTCGACATATACAGGACTTCACTAGACCTTACTGATTGCCAGATGTTACTTGAACTCCCTCGTTTTCTGTCCAAGGAGCCAAAGAAGTGGTTTAATGTCCTGAGCTCCCATCTTTCCACATGGGCCCAGTTTTGTGAGCTGTTTAGGAAGGTTTTTCTGCCATCTGATAATCAGGAGCGCATTATGAGAGGTATCCTGGACCGGGTTCAGAGGCCAGACGAACCTTTGCCTACGTTTGTCGCCCACATACTGAGTGAATTTCGAAAATTGTGAACTCCGCCTCCTCAGCTGGAGCAAATTGAGCTAATATGCAAGCATGCTGTCGAGAAATACAGGGTAGCGCTCTATGGTACTGCGGTAACGTCTGTGATGGAACTTCTCTTACGTGCGCATGAGCTGCATTCAGTCTTGGGTCCGTGTAGTCGTTATGCACCCCATGTGCCACAGTCAGTTCCTGTAGCAAGGGAAGTTCACTGTTTCAAGTGTTTGACACTGGAGTATACTTCCCGTAACTGTCCTGTAGACTTCGGAATAGTCTGGATGTGCGCTCGGTTTCACCCAATCAGCAGGGTGAACATACTACAGAGACGCAGAGTTCGGGACACCCAAGTAGTGTATCGTATACAGCGGCTGCGGCTGCCTCAGAAAAAATTAAGCTTTCTGAGTTGTTGAGATCCTTTCCTGATTTATTTGATGGACATCTAGGTCATACATCCATGGTTGAGCACAAAATTGACACAGAACAGGCCAGACCTGTCCATCTTCCTCCATACCTCCATCACCTGCGAAGAAAGAGTTAATTGAGAGGCAAATCGACACTTTACGGTGAAAGACTCCTACCCACTTCCGAGAATAGATGAGTCCCTTGATTTTCTGGGAAGAGGAAACTTCGTGTCCACAATTGACTTAGCCAGGGGCTATTGGCAGGTGGCCATGGAGGAATCGTCAAGGCCAAAGACCGCTTTTATTTCTCACCGTGGGTTATACCAGTTCCGTGTTCTACCTTTTGACCTGTGTAATGCCCCAGCCACTTTTCAGAGGCTCATGAACACTGTGCTGGCAGGCCTTATCTACAAGTCATGCGCAGTGTATCTGGACGATATTGTAGTCGCCTCACCCACGTTTGAGCAATACCTGATAGACCTGGAGGAGGTCCTGGCTTGGCTCAAGTCAGCTGGTCTGTCGATCAAGTTGAAAAAGTGTCAGTTCTGTAGGGAGGAACTTACCTTCTTGGGGTATCGAGTCACCAAAGATGGTGTCCTACCGAATGAGGACAAAGTGAAGGCGGTGGTTGACTTTATTACTCCAGCGAATGCTAGGCAGGTGAGACAGTTCTTGGGCCTGACTAGTTACTACCGGCGATTCATTCACGAATATGCACGACATGCTGAACCTCTTTTTGCACTTACAAGAGCCAATGTTCCTTTTGTGTGGACACAAGATTGCCAAAATGCTTTTGATTTCCTCAAAAGTAAATTGACGTCTGCGCTTATTCTGAGATTTCCAGTTTTCACTTCCATTCTTCGTTCATGTTGATTCGTGTGATGTCGGTCTGGGAGCTGCTTTATTGCAGAGGGATGAAGAAGGTAGAGACTGTGCAATTGCCTATGCCAGCCGTGCTTTGCACAAGTCTGAATGCCCTTACTCTACCCCCGAGAAGGAATGCCTGGCGGTAATTTGGGCGCTTGAGTATTTCAGACCGTACATTGAGGGGCTGCACGTCACAGTTTTTTCCGACCATAGCAGTCTGAAGTGGTTGATGTCACGACCAAACCCCACTGGAAGGTTGGCTCGGTGGTCACTTCGGTTGCAGGACTTTGATTTTGAAATTATCCATAAACCTGGAGTGTCCAACAGCGTTCCTGATAGTTTGTCTAGAACAGTGGTTCCCAAACCTGTCCTGGCGACCCACCAACACTGCACGTTTTCTTTGTCTCCCTAATCAAACACACCTGATTCAACTTGAATCAGGTGTGTTTGATTAGGGTGACAAAGAAAACGTGCAGTGTTGGTGGGTCGCCAGGACAGGTTTGGGAACCACTGGTCTAGAAACCCCTTACCTACCTGTAGTCGACCCCTTGACATTCTTCCTGATCGCGCTGTTCTTGGGAGTCTAAACTCGCGTTCCTTGCCTTCAGTCTTGTTTACGGACAGGGATCACTTGAGAAGTTTACAGCTGGACGATCCGGAGATTGGGAAGCTGCTCAGGGTATTGGAGGATGGTAAGAGTTTGTCTTCAGAGGAGGATCCCATGTGTGCTGTTCTTGATGGTCTTCTGTATCACAAAGACCCAAAATCTTCCTGTACATTGCATCCCATGAAACAGTTTAAGCTTTATGTTCCTCAGACTGTCAGGAGGTCTCTGTTGGAGTATTTTCATGATCATCCCACTGCAGGTCATTTGGGTGTGACTAAGATGGTGGCGAGGCTTAAACAGAGATTTTTCTGGCTTAACATGGTGTCGGATGAGAAGAAGTATGTGGGTTCGTGCATTGTCTGCCAATTCACGAAGCCGTCCCAGAGAAAGCCTGGTGGTCTCACGGTTCCAATCTGTCCCCAGTTTCCCTGGGAGTACACAGGGGTGGACTTCGTGGGCCCTCTGCCTCGGACGGCGAGTGGTAATGTGTACATCCTTGTGTTTGTGGATTACTTTTCAAAGTGGATCGAAGTTTGTGCTGTGAGGGAAGCTACTGCTCTTGTTGCTGCAAGTAAGCTGCTCAGTGAAGTTTTTTCTCGGCATGGTGCCCCAAAGTATTTGATATCGTACAGGGGTTCTGTGTTTATGAGTGATCTCTTCAAACACACAGTTTCTGCCTTGGGTACTGAGCACAGACTTACAACAGCCTACCACCCTCAGACCAATGCCACTGAGAGAGTGAACCGGACGCTAAAAACGGCCATTAGAGCATATATTGGGACTAAGCATACTTCTTGGGATCGCTTTCTTCCCCACATTTGTTTTGCCCTTCGGACCGCTCAACACGAGAGTACAGGACAGAGTCCGTCAATAGTGCTGTATGGCCGAGAACTGGACACACTCTTGGATCTGATTTCTCAACCTGATTCGCTTGGAGTGGAAGATCCAGGTGTGACTTCATTGGATGCACTGAAGCATTCGCTCCAGGAGGCTTCTGATCATGTCAGGTCTTTTCTAGAAGTGAGTCACTCTAAGAAAAAGCACTACTATGACAAGAGGCGTC